GGGAATGATGATTTTTAACACGTCATGTTTCATGAAAAATCCCTGAGGCAATTGTTGGAAGGTCTAGGTTGTGTTTTGTTTTGTTTTGTTTTGTTTGTTTTGTTTTGCTCGAGGACTAGCAAAAGCTAAGTGTGGGGGAATTTGATAGGAGCATATTTATGCGACTTAGTTAGCTTGTTTCTTGGCATTTATGTTGTTAGTTCGTAGTTATTTTAGTATTTTAAGCTATTTTCGTGTGTTTGTAGGTCCAAAGGGTTAATGTGGCAAAGAAGTGCATTTTGGAGCATTTTGGAGCATTTTTTGGCATGGAATGGATAGCATATGCTTGGAGCAAAAGGAATGGACGAAATTTGAAGTTTGTACATCATCCTCTCCCTATAAATAACTATTTTAGCACACTCATTTCACCCAACACATCCACTCATTACAACCACCCAACACATTCACCTACCACTACATCCACTCATTTCACCCAACACATCCACTCACTAAAACCACCCAACACATTCACCTACCACTACATCCACTCATTTCACCCAACACATCCATTCACCTACCACTACATCCACTCATTACCACCACCCACTACGTCCTCTCCCTAGCCTATAAATATATCCATCGAAAGACACATTCAGGGGGACAGTTTAGGGAGAAGGGAGGAAGACACATTATGCCGTAAGGCAAAGTCTTTTCTTCTTAACCATTCTACACATTCCCACAACAAAAACACAATTCCATGCACCTTCATTTCCCTTTCCTTGCCATGACCTCCATCCAACTTAAACACATTCAGCCATTCCCTTCCATATATCCATATGCATCCATCAAACCACACCTTTTGCCGTAACAAAGAGAAGGAGGACCCTTGGACGTGCTTGCCATTCAAGTTGGATTGTTGGAGCGTTTTTAGATGTTTTCATTCTTTTGTTTTCAATGTCTAAATTTGTTTATCTTTGCTTTGTGAGTATGAGGAACTAAACCCCCTTCGCTAGGGGGGAATTCAAATCCATGAACATACTTGCAATATGAATTGATTACCTTCAGTCGTGAATTCAATTTGTTTAACTGCTTGATTGATAACTTATTCGTGTATGTTTATTAAGAGTGCACACTTAGTTTGCATGCATGAATATGATGCAAGAGTATAAAGGAGTTTCACCTAATAGTTACAAACTTATATTCACAAGTAGTGGAGGTCGCTTATAAACGATCGCGTTAAATGAATTCTTGGCAGGAGTTTCATGCTCATCATAGTAACGAATGCCTTGTCAATACTTATAGTTTACCCAAATTCGTCCAAAATCTATTTTAGTTTACAATCTATTTGTTTTGTTTTCAAATTCGTCAAAATCAAATCCCTCTTTACTTTAAAGTGTTTTATTAGTCAAAATCTGTTTTGATTTGTGTTTTTAAGTGTCTTGAGTCAAGTTAGAACCTAATTTCGTCCAAAACCATCCCTAGAGTCAGTTTAGAGTCTAATTCATTGTTTTAAGCTGTTTTGAGTCTTTTAAACTAGTTTTGAGTCTTTTTAGTTTGTATTGCATCTTTTGAGTCTAGTTTGGTGTTTTAAACTTAATTTTATGTTTTTAAGTCAATTTAGAGGTTATTAGTAAGCACTCATAATCCCTAGTCCAGAACGATCCCTATTTACATTCTTTACTACAATTGATACAAGAGGGTTTAATTTGTGCGTTAAGTAATTTTTCGTATCAAGGCCATCTGTCTGTTTCTTAGGGCCGAGCCTATCGAATACTTTCTGGTGCTGGCCTTCATTAGGTTCCATTGAAGGTGCCTTCGTGGTTGCCGATTGTTACCGTGACGTCGGCGTCTGCGTCTGAGGCAGTTTCTCCTTAGGCTCGGTTAATACAACGCGTGCCATACAATTGTTGCACAAAACTATCGGCCTGCCATTTTCTTCTTCGCTGGAGTCTGACATGGATTCAACTATGGCTGGTCCTGAAAGTTCAGTAGGTGGCGCATTGGAAAATAGGTCGACCTTGAGTCGAGGCTGGGAACCTTTCTTTAGGATGTGTTGTACTGGGGTAAACCCGACCATCTCTTTCCCTTTGCTCTTAGGTAAACGGGCGTCTGCCATGCCAACTATTGTTGAATGGAATGGATCAATATCAACCGTCATGCGTTTTTCAGGAAATTTTAACTTGCCTTTGTCAATCCAGCTCTAGATATCATCACGAAATATGACACAATTGTTTGTGGCATGCTTGGTCGAGTTATGATATTTGCAATATATCTTTCCTTTAAGTTCTTCGGCCTTGGGAATGTGATGCCCTGGCCAAAGTTTGATGATCTTTGCTAATAACAATTAATCGAAAATTGCTTCGGCCTTTGTGATATCAAAAGTGTAGACATTCGATGTTTTCGCTGTCTCTTCAGTGGCCGAGCAGGGTTTGGCATCTTTGGAATTAATTTGAGTCAATGCCTTGTAAATGTATGGTTTATCTATTACTATCTCGGCTACATCGATAATAACGTATTGAGAATCCTCACCTTCGATCGATGTGTAGTTAACCGTGGGATTTTTTATAAATTGTCCTTCGGGATGGGAATTTCAAGATCTTCTCTTCTCGGAGCAAATAATCATATTGCTCGATATGCTGAGCTAATTCATACATATCCCGAAAGTTTGCCCCCAAGAATTTATTTTTGTATTCTACGTTGAGTCCGTTCAAAGCAAGCCTAACAAATTCAACTTCGGGGAGAGGTACACGACACCAATTCCTAGCCGATTTAAATCTGGTAAGATAATCCATTGGTGACTCATCAGATGCTTGAACCATCCTCGCCAATGAAGAAACTGACATTTCCATCCCTAGCCGATAAAACTGCTCGTGAAATTTCTCAACCAACTCCTCCCAGCTTTGGATAGAATTAGGTGGGAGGTTGATATACCAGGAAAATGCTGAGCCTGTCAACAAAAAATTGAACAGCCGCAGCTTGTGAAAATCATTGTTAACTTCTCCGCATTGCGCGGTGAAACGAGCCACATGTTCTAACGAGGATAAGGACGATTCTCCAGCGAAAAGGCTAAAATCTGGAATTTTGAAACATTTAGGATATTCGAACTTTTCCACATAAGCTGAATACAGATGGATGAATTTAGGGAACTTCGGCCCTTTTTTCATGGCCGAATCGATCATCTGCTAGACCTCAGTCATATCGACAGGTGTTGTTTCCACTCTCTAGTCGGATCCATCTGACCTACTACTCGATCCTCCCCTTTTCTCTAAGTCAATTGTCTTAGGCCGAATAAACACCACTTCGCCCTGTAGGGAATTACTTTTAAGTGGAAGATGCTGAGCCTGATCAACAGGTTTTTCTTCGAAGACTTTACTAACTATTAGTTCGAGCAATTAGGTTTGGGTCTCTCCAGTGATTTGTATTGCTTCAAGCAAACGGTTTATTTTATGGCCCACTGTCTGTTCCACTTGTCAGGATTGCTCGTCAAGTCGTCTTCGAAGAAATGACCTAGTCGGAGGATCAGAGCCTTCACCACCATCTTCATTGCAGTCCTCCACTATTCCTTCAATGAAAAAGCCTACAGTTTGGTTGAGTACTTCTGTATTTCGAGGTTGGCCACCGAGGCATACTTCCTTTTCTCGATGTGTTGCACTTGTAACCTCAGGGGTTACGACGACGATAAGATTTTGCGCATGTGATACCTTTTGGCCATGACTTTGAACCAGCAGATCGGTCACTGATTTTCCCATAGTTCTTTTCTTTTTTACTGATCGTGTCTCGATGGTCATGAACTTCGTAGTCTTAGCACTGGGTCCCACCGGGCGTGCCAAAATGTTGACCCTAAAAGCTACTAAGCCTACGTGGCGCAGGCCGAGTAACTAATGAGCTAACTACGTCCTTCGGTTATATACGGGCATACCAACTCGTCGATCGAGCTCTGCCAAGGAGTAAAATTTGTTGATGTTGCGTTGGGTGCGCTGCTGACTTCTCGATCGTGCGACTACGGCCGATGAAGGAACACTCTCGGCCTTCAGGTTCTAGAACCTAAAGATAAGGCTATTAGTTCTGCGAAGTTCACAAATTGTCAGCGCCGGATTCAGTTACTGTGATTATATTCGTAAGAGTATAAGCATGCCGAATTGACACCAGAGTACAAGGACACAAGTATTCAAAACGAATATACGTCTTGATTGTGAAAGTGGTTCAGCCGTCAGAATGTCGAACTCTAAATCCTACTTGCAAATAACCAATCATAAATGACTCGGCGATTAATGTGCCGAGTACAAGAACTTGTAACACCTCGCTTCGCCGAGAAGGTTAACGAGATGACCTCTGCCGATAAGGATTCAAAAAATCATTCTCGACCGAGACTTTGATAGGTAACCAGTCGGCCATGTCGCAGTGTTGTTTATCCAAACTGAAGATGCTCCACGGTCAGCTGATTCTACGACAACAGTGTTGTTTATCCAAACTGAAGATGTTTACCGATTGCCTCCACAGTGCTATTTATCCAAACTGAAGGTGTGTCGGTGAAAAGGGGAAAACAAAAATCTCAAGGTTGTTGAGAGGTTTCGCGTAGAGCGAGAAAATGCGCAGGGCAATTTGTGTGTTGAATTGGAGGGGGGTTGTTTCGATGTCTTCCCTCCCTATTTATAACAGCCAACTTGTATCGAATCCCAATCACTTCTGGATTAGAACTCCTTCTCATGATCCAACTTTATCTCGACCAATCATATTCCTACTAGGACTTCAAACATAACTCGTTATCAGACCGTATTCAATCTTAGCATCCTGATCCCGTTGAAACTCCTTCTCATAACAGGATTCGTCCACATTCCCAATTTCCGATAGGATATGGCCAACTTCGACCGCACGGCCCATAGGCTGAATATCTCCCAATGACACCTGTTCACGACTTCTGGACCGAGAATGAATCTAAACTCGGCCTATCCAACACTGGGCCGAAAAAAATCTAACTCGGCCCAAAACAATATTTTTTGGGTCCAAACACTACCATTAGCATGCTTGATGGCAAGAACAGAATCAGTGAGTTTAAAAATCCAACACTCTACAAGGATGATGAGAAGTTAAAGGCTCTTGCTGCGATAAAAGGAGGAGGTTATGTGCCAGACACAAGATATGTCCTTCGTGACATTGATCAGGAGGCCAAGGAACAGGCCTTGCTTTATCACAGTGAGCGTTTGGCAATTGCGTATGGTCTCATTAGTACTCCGCCAAGGCAAACTCTTAGGATCATCAAGAACCTCCGCGTCTGCGATGACTGCCACAATGCAATTAAGATCATGTCAAAGATTGTTGGAAGGGAATTGATCGTCAGGGACAAACGTTTCCATCATTTCAAGGACGGAAAATGCTCTTGTGGGGATTATTGGTGAAGAGCAGATATCACCTCAGACTTGTCTAAGAGTTCTTCCCAGTTGCAGTTTGGTGTGTAAAGAAAGTTCAAACTATGCCGAGCTATACGGGGATCCTGTGCAGATGAGCACCAGTGCTACTAGTTAGTAGGAGATCAACCATCCAATGCTTGTTTTGACATATATGCTGAACTATATATGCATTGCATTATCTGTTTGTTTCGATGTCGAATCAATTATTATCTGTCAAAAATCAAAATAATATTTTCTTATCCTTTTGCGGCATTCCGATTGCTCTCTTCCTATGAGATACTGTTGGAAATAACTGTATTTTGGTTCATGATGTCTTGAAGCTATTCAAACATACTTTCTTTGACCAAAAAATAACATACTTTCAAAACATGGACTTTTTGGGTATTTAGTTAACAAATTGACGTGGACTTTTTGGGTAGTATAGCGCATGCATTGAAGTTATTAGTTATTACCAATTAGCTCATGATCTAGTGAGTTACTTTCTCGAGTCCCCAAGTTCAAATTTTCCATCCTCGTTGATGAAAACAGGAAAAATACGATGGATAGCATGATAGATGGCCAGCTTCCAATTTGGATGAAGTTAATAAACCTTGTTTCGAAGAGATTCTTAGTTCTCTCTGGTTGTATATCCCCTTGTGTCTTGAGCATGTGATCAGGGAGATAAACATAAGGACACATACAGCTGGTTACAAAGCAGATTATCTCGAAGAAAAGAGGCATTTGTCTTCACATGGATTTACATCAACACACACAAACACAAATGCAAATTGGATCTCTACTGTTCTATGCACGTCTCATGGAACTAGTCATCATGGTCATGAAATCATTTAAGTCAACCATACCATCCCCATCAGTGTCTACCGCTCTCACTATCCGCCGGCAGTCGTCAAGGTTGCAACTCTCCTCCAATCCCGTTAGCACTTCCATAACTTCTTCTGCGCTTATTTTTCCGTCGCCATTCAAATCAAACATCTGAAAAGCGTTCTGGATGTCTATCGTCCGAATCCCTCCGTTGTGTACATCCAAGAACTCCTTGAAATTGATAAAGCCATCCCGATCCAGATCAACAATCTTGAAAATCTTCTGCACTTCTCCAACCTTACTTCCCTTTCCCAGTGCTCTCAATATGGCCTTGTACTCCGCCGGAGATATCTTCCCGTCTTTGTTGGAGTCGAACTTGTCAAAGACTTTCTTCATCTCATTGTGATTTGGCTCAAAAGTAAGTGCTAAGCCGGAGTTTTTCCTGTCTTGGAAGGAAAATATCCGAGATGGTTTGCACAGAAACTTCCGCTTTGAGAGGCTGTACTGGAAGTCGAGGGAGTTGACATTCGACATATCCATCTCAGGCGATCAGAGCAAAAACCAAAATCAGACTTTTATATAACGGTCCAGGTAACCGTCAATACGAGGTTGCAGAAACTGGGCGTCTCCGATCCTTATATACTGTATACAACAATTTCATTCCATAAAAAGTTGAGGCAATTCAAGAAGAATAGATTCTTAATAAATGGCAGAAAAAAGCTAATAAGAATAGATAAGAAAGAATACATTCTTTACAAAAGCTAAGCAACTACAATCTCCTTTCTCCTCCCCAAAAATCTCCTTTTGAAGATTGGTTTTATTTTTTATTTCAAATTTATAAATAAGTACTGAAGGGGAGTTATAACAGAACTCACCGAACTAATCGTAAAATATTTCCCGATATACAAAAAAATTTATAAGAAATAACTATGTTTAGCTCATGGCGGTTTTCCATTATCCAAATCCACCATCACTTCAATGTCCTTGCGAGCTGTTATCTTCTGTACGTATCCTACAATGTTGAATATCTTGAGTAAGAACTCTAGGGTTGTAAATAAAAAACACAAGGGTTCCAAAAAAAGATTTGCGTTCATAAATGATGACCCAAGTGAATCAGTAAAGTTTCCATTCGAGCTTTGCACAAGCTTTGATGCCCATTAACTTTAAGCATCCTACCCGTAGGGTTCTTTCATAACGTAAATATTAAAGTTGTCTTCCGCATCATCAAATATTCTCATATACCTCCCCTCTACAACAAGGAATAGTGCCCAACAGCTTGCCAAATATTTCCATTGCTCCTATTTCTGGCACTAAACCTCCAACCAATAGAAGAAAGTTGGCAGACCTAGGCAGTATTGGAGTTAAAGCAAAAGAATTGAAAAACAGTAGAGACACGCTTATCTTAAATTCCATACATCTTCACATGATATATAATTTCATTACCTAAGTTGAGAACTTAAACCTTATTTGAGGACTGGACTCGAAAACATGTATCTACCGCAATGTATTAAAAGGCGAAGGCGTAGGCGAGGCGTCCCATGGATAGCCCCGTCTAGGTGTGCGGCGAAGCCTCACAGTACCTAAAATTTTAATATATATTACATATATAATTATATTTTATAGATATAATACTTTGTAAAACAAATATAATTATAACTAATCTAAATTAAAGATAATAACATCTTCATTACTAAGTCTAGTTGTACTTGGAAACTATTTCATAAAGTCTTAAAATGTTGTAATTATTTATTTTATTGTAAGCAATTATAGAGAACTTTAAGAGAAATAAGGATAAGTGGCCACAATTATAGGGAATTTCAAGGAAAATAAAGGCTGAATGTCACAATTATAGGGAAATTCAAAAGGAAATAAAGGTTGAGTGGAGAAATTATAGGGAATTTAAATGAAATAAAGGCTAAGTGGAGAAATTATAGGGAATTTAAAAGGAAATAAAGGCTTAGTGGAGCAATTATTATAGGGAATTTAAAAGAAAATAAAGGAAGAGTGAGTTGGAGTTAGACTTTGTCATTTGGAGAGAGAAACTCTCCTTCTTCGTTTAAACTAAAACAGTCTCCTGCATTTTAGAAACAAACATGAATTTTGAAGGGAAAAAACGCCCATGTTGAACACCTGGGCGCGCCTCAGCCACCTAGGCACACCCTGACGCCGCCCTACGCCCACCCCCACAAAACAGAGGCAAAAATCCAGCCACCCAGCCTTCAAGGCCGCCTAGGCGAGCCCCGAGGCGAGTTTTTTAAAACACTGATTTACCGTGAGATTTATATGGGTGGCTGAAATGGATAATGGACAATAATAGGGGAGATGCAGCAATCTGACATGTTAACATATATGTTAAAAGGCCCCAGGCAATACAAGTCATGATATTAAAGGAAAGCCTCAACTTAGCCGCCAGGAACCATTGTAAGAAATTCAAATATCCTGGTTTCTTGCTTCTAACTGTCACTACAAATCCTATCAAACATAGTCACACATGAGAGCTGGAAGGATTGCGTCCAACAGAAAAGAAAAAGGTTGTATCTATTAAGATGAAATAAGATGAAAGGAGAGCATATTATTTAAACTCGAGAGTTCAAAGTTAAAACCAGATGGATGCTTTGTCCCACATTAACCAGTAAGTTTAAGGTACTCGGCATAACTGTCAATAACTACCTATGTAGTTTCAAGTTTCACATACTTAGATCGTTTATGTCACACTAGACTGGATAGTACCAAAATACATATAATTACATAAATTAGTTGTTAATGTACTATCATAGCTCCTCCGAGGTAACTTTTTATATTACTCTCTCTGTCTCACCACACACACACGTAGACGGAGGACAATGTTTATGCCACCGGAAAATGGTTCAGCTGAGCTACTGCCTGTTGGCCTCAGTAACTGAGAAACAAGAGACATGATAGAGAACTCTATAAACTCTTGACATAATTTTTGTATACAAGAGTTCAGAGAAACCAAATGGAAAAACGACAACATAAAATTTTCTAGAGGCATAAAGAAACCAAGGAACACTGCCAGATACCCCAATAATATATTTCAAAGAATTATTCCAAAGTACAAAATTCCATTTGTCCCCAACTTGTCCACATCAGAGAATTCGAACAATAACTTTGATTACGCTCTATTCCTGTTCAGTTAGGCTGTCAAGCGTACCAGTCGAATTATATAAGGCTTATATTGTTTAGAAAGGGAGAACTTTGACATATCCAACAAGCCTACCGGTATTTGTACTAGTCTATGTTAAAAATCGAAATACACTTCTACACCTTGAACAGAGTATCACAAGAGAATGTTCAACATGAGGGTCTCAAAATCTATTGTTTAAGAGCTAAAGCCTATTTACCTATGATTCATGTGAGTGTTTAAACCAGTAAACAGTATGAACAAACACATATGTAATGAACAATTCCAATCACAACCCAAAACGAGAAAGCACAAAATTTAACATGTAATCGAGTAGAACCCAGCTTTCACAAGCCTCCAACATACAAAGCACAAAATCAGCTCAGAAAACCCCAAAAATTAAAAAAATTTATAATCATACCGATTCCTTGGCAGGGTATGCATTTGCAGACTGTCTCCTTTCCTCTTTTGTTGAAATAACTTACAAATCCTGAGCCTTGGCAACTATTGCACTTTCCTGTCCATTCATACACAACTTCCTTGCAATCCTACAACAATTTCCAATTTTTTTTAAAAAAAAAAATTGTTAATGGATTTTCCACAGGTAATTTTGCAAATTTCAACCAAATCAAAACTGAAATTCCGATCCTGACCTCAACTACAGGATCGCATCGGAGCCTGCGGTCAATCTCCTCCGCCGAGACAGGCGACGAATTGGGATAAGTCATCGGGAGAGGGAGGGCGTCGCCGTTGTCGAACAAATAGCTCTCTCTATCGCGCGACCATTTCCTCTCCTTGGCGTTCACCTTAACACCAGAACTCCCGCTGCTACCGCCCTCGAGGTCAGAATCTTGGCCAATTCGGACGCCGACAGAAGACGCGTCGGCAGCGGCGGAGGGGAATTGGATTAGGCGGGGGAATGTGGGGCCCCGAGGGAGGTCGCCGGTGGCAGCGCGGCAGCGGAAGGGTGAGGGTTTGGTGGGGAAGAAGAGGCTAGGGTTTGTAGCCAACATTCCAAGAAATGGTGAGGAGTGACAGAGAGAGAAAGAAAGGCTATGAGTTGGAGGGAGGTTTGTTTATATAGATTACCAATGCCGCGCGCGCGGTAACAGCAAGGCACACTAACTTGCGGTCCCTGTTCGTTTATCAAGTGGAAGTTTCACCAGTTAGCATTTGGGAAATTGGGAAATTTGAAAAAATAATTATATTTTAGACCACCTATACAATTATAGTCATTATTTTAATTTTAGGAATATTTTTGAAATATTATACGAACTTATACATCTTTTTTAATTTATCCTATGAACTAAAATTTTAAGTGATTTATCATGCCAACGTTTCGAAATTATTAATTTGTCATCTCATCCTAAAAATAATCAAATTTTAGACCACATATAGAATTATAGCCTTATTTTAATTTTGGGAATATTTTCAAAATGTCATACGAATTTATACATCCTTTTCAATTTATCATATGGACTAAATTTTAAATGATTTGTCATAACAACTTTTCTAAATTATTAATTTATCATCTCATTTTAACTCCCTTAAGTTTTCCATCCAAAATAGTCGTGCGCAAGGCACATGACTCATGTTTAGAGTTATTTCAAACATTTCAACCTCTCTCTCCCCTTTTAATAAGTTGTCTTCGACAAAAATAATTCTAAGGTTTCTCAAAAATACAAAAAAAAGGTTACTCCGATCGAGTATTTGAGAGTTTGCCGTTCGGTTAAAGGGAACGACGTGCACTTGCTTTTTTGTGTTTTGAAGTGAATATGACTTAATATATAGATAGTTACTGGGGCCCTCTAATATATGGTAAAGTTGGATTATATTCTTATGTTAAAATGTCTTAAATAACTATGAAAAAAATTATGTGCAAAGCACTTGATTTATTTTGGATGGAAAACTTAATAGAGTTAGGGTTAGATGACAAATCAATGATTTTGGAAATTTGGTATGACAAATCGCTTAAAATTTTTGTTCATATGATAAATTGATAAAAGCATATAAGTTCATACGACATTTCAAAAAAAAATCCCTTAATTTTATGGTAATTAGAATCAAAACTTGATGCAAAAGTACTAATATAACCTTACTACTAGGGTTCCTCACAACAATCAAAACACAACCTATAAGATTGCATATTTGAATATAAGTGGAGAGCGTTTTCTAAATTCCCAAATTCTTTTTGGCTAATTGGCGCCAATTTGAGAAATTAATCTCGATCATTTTTTCTTTAGATGTCTGCAACCTTTAAACCAAAATTGGAATCTTAGATAGGTTGTCTGAGGGTTCGTCGCGGTTCATTGATGTGCTTACACACTAGGTTACCCTTCTCCAAAAGCTTTGCATGACCACCTACCACTGGTCTTCGTCGGAGGGGTTTATTGCACAAAAACGCCGAGATAGATAAAAGGTACGCGGGGGATAACATGTTGATAACTCCCAAGAGCCCTTATCGACGGAGTCATTTGGCACCTCGATGGCACCTCAATTAGGTTTAGAACGTTATTAGACTGTTCGATTCCTAAATACCATTAGTGTTAAAGGAAAAACTACGAGGAGCTAAAAAACTTACTCTATAAAGTCTAAGGTACCGTAACAGACAACCAAAACTAGAGACAAGGAAGAACAGCTTCCCATGAATTTATTGTACAATAGATAGAATAGAGAGTCAAACATTGCTGCCATGCTGCTTATGCAAAGTGAATATACTCCCCGTGTCCCTGCTTGTGGAGTCAAATTTTGTTTGGCCCTCAAAATCTCTAATGCTTGCAAAAACATAGGTCAAAAAAGGATGTTAGTGATTTCATCTGTATTCTGGTCGAGGTTGAACTTTCAATCTTACAACTATTTTTTTGAAGCAGATAGTTCACAGTGTTCATTCTATGATTACTATAAAAGCCAACCATGACTATCTTCAGAATTTAGCTCTAACTTTCCTTGCCCATCATTTTTGAATGATTCAATGTAATTGATTGTCACACTCTCTCTAAACCCAACCGTGATTCCCTGCCCTTGGTGCACCATGATGGAAGGTTGTGAGAAGTGGCTTGACAGAGATGGTTCGAATCAAGCGAAACTTTGCTTTTTTTATTCATGCTTTCCTTCTTTCTGGAGGTTGCAAAGTAGTTCAAAAGTTGTAGAGAAAAATGAAAACAAAAAAAGTGATGGAGATTAATTTTTCATTTAAAGGTAGTTTAAAGGTAGTTTAAAGGTTGTGTTTCGGTTGTTGTGAGAAATCCTAATATTAAGAGTATTTTAGTACTTTTATATCATGTTTTGGTTATACTTATCATAAAGTTAAAATAATGGCTATAATTCTATATGGGGTCTAAAATTCGACTATTTTTTCAAATTTCCCTAAGTATTTAGCAATGCTAAATTTGTTATGCCACGTATGAAAAATGCATCTCAAACAGAAATAGTAACTTACTTAACAAATTAAATAATTAACAACTAATCTTGTATATATTTACAAGGTCAATTGTTACTTAAAATTAGCAAATTAGGTTTTGCAATATATTTTACTTTGAAATTGTTGGGATGGAGTAGCAGTACTTAAGTGCGGACTTGTTGGTGAAGTAGCGCAATATGGCAGGATGGGGACAAGGTCTTCCTGCTTGATGGTGCTACTGTTTCCTACAGATATGAAGCCCTTATCCATTGTGTAGTTTAGGTTCCCTACTATAACGTTCTCAGATGTTGCCCAGCTTCACATTTACACTACTACATTTAACAGTTTTCATGATGAATAACATTTGGTCACGCAAAGAGAAATTTCGGCGCATAAATAATAACGTGACGAAATCTTCGTCGCGCAAAGGTCATGAAAAAAGACCTTTCACGATGAAATTATGAACTTCGTCGCATAACAAGCAGATGCACGACCAAATGAGCTTTTGTCGCAGTTAATGTATCGGAACGAAGACCTTCCTTGTAGGACGGACTAGGGTACAAAAGTATGTCGTCGCGATGTAGCGATGAAACGTTTCATCCATTAAGCATTCATGCAACAAAATTGAAGCAATTTTAACATTATTTAATTGTCAAACGTTTGTCGTACAAATGTTTATGCTACGAAATATTTGGTTGCATTTAATCTTATGCGATGAAACCTTTCGTCACACAAAGTTTAATTTTTTTGGTTTTGGTTATGTTTGTAGCATACTTGACCAATCTCAAAACTACCAAGCACCGGTCAACGTCATACCTTCAAGGACCCATTGAGGGGTTCATGCTGAGACACCCCTACCAAAGCACAAGAGTTTCTCTCCAACCAAGAGGCCAATCACAGTGTGACACATGTCAACGTCAGAATAAAGCTCATAGAGTCCCACATAGACCGCAGACAAAAGCTAAAGACATTCCTCAACTATAAAAGGAAACCATTCTCCTACAATTAATCCCCTAATGTCATCATTGTACTTAAACCAGTCATTAGAACCCACTAATGGTGATTATGCTTAAACTTATGTATTTGTGTAAACCCTTCACTATTAATGAGAACTCCTCTACTCCGTGGACGTAGCCAAACTTAGGGTGAACCACGTACATCTTGTGTTTGCTTCCCTATCTCTATCTATTTACATATTATCCTCACCAGGTTACCAGAACAACCGAGCGAATGTCACAAACTTGACACTTTACGTTGTTCCAAAGTATTCACCGATTTTGTGCATCAACATTTGGCACCGTATGTGAGAAAAAGACATTTATTCCTACTCCCTTCAGCTTTGCCAAGCTGGTTTCCATCATTCGTACACTCTCATTTGACCAGGCATCCCTCTCCAACATGAAGAGAGAAGGAAGTCACAGCACACATAACAACATTTCCCTCGTGCTTAGTGTGAGGCAGCGAAGGAAGGAACGAAATTTTCAAAAGAATAATTTAATTTAAAAAATTAAATTTTAACAATAATTAATAAGAAAATTTTATAATATAAAGGAAAATGTACGAACAAGCTGAAATTTTTAAAAGTAAGCTGAAAAAAAAATCTAAACAAAAAGGGACTAAAAGTCTATTTGGTCAGCGTTGGTGAGGTGTTGGATGTCTTGCGTCTAGTCGACGGACCGGGGTGCTAGGTTTGTTCCAAATGGATAAGCTTGGAGGTCGATAGAGCATCAAAACCTAGTAGGAGACGGAGGCCAGACGAGGTGAGGGCCTATACAGCCAACGACATCTGACTCTACGTGGATGCGAACTTACTCCTCAAATTAGCCACTTCTTGTGTCAATGTCGTGACTGTGGAGCCAAAAATATTCGCTAGGCGACACGTGGACTTTTGGACAAAAGAGGACAAAAATACCCTCGAAGCATACAAGGATTCCTACGCGCAAGCAGTGGGCAATCATCTTTCAATCAAGTCAAAAGTGCCCAAAAAAGGTAACAATTAAAAACCTCTCTCATCAAATCCTTTCTATAAGGTATTTCCCAAAACCTAGTATTTTCTATTTCATTATTTAGCTAATCAATTAGTTAAATAATATAAACCTACCATATCTCCTAAAATCACCCAATTAATAGCCCAAAACCGGCCCCCACTATTCACATCCTCATCTTTCCCATTTTCCTTATTAAAATAATCATTCATTTTTATAACCACCTATTTATTCTTTTCATATTTAATTAGCCAATAAATTGGCAAATTAAACATGAAATTAACCCCCACAAAAACCCTATGGCTGGCTACTATTATTCAAAATAGGGCAAACCCTAACTCTATAAATAAACACATATTCTCACCAAAATTTCATTCCAACACTTTGGCAAAAATCCCAAAATTCTCTAAACACTCTTTCTCTCCAAATTCTAACTTTGGCATCGGAGGTTCTTCGGCCAAAGCCCCCCCCCCCATTCATCGTGGGCGCGTGAGGCTCTTGGCCTTAACCTAAGGTGTTAATTGTTTTGTAGGTGCAAAATCGTCCAAGATCGAGGAGGAAGAAATTTGCATCCACAAATTGGTGCTTTCATTGAGAGTTGAAATCCATACTCGTAGAAGACTCTCGCACAAAAAGGTTTTTTTTTTCTTTATTTTCTAGTCCATTTGAATATTTTT